TACAGGTGAGCCCGGAGGATGGGAGGCGTGTGGTCCTATACTGAAGTGGCATAGGGCATGACAACTAAGCAACACACACACACACACACACCACTCTCCCTCACTCCTGCCCTCCATCTTGAAAATTTTCTACTTGCTCTTGAGATGGCAACCATTTTAACTTTTCCTCCGGGGATTTTCCACGTCTCCTCTTCTACCGTGTGGTACCGTTTAATATACCTCCCAATTCACTCTGGCAGAGTTTCCTAGGTAGCTACCTACCTACCTGGCGGGCAGGTGAGATAGCAGAGAGATACAGAAATAGGCTCCTTCCTTCTTTTTTCATGTTGCCCCACCAATTCCGGTAGGGAAACCTGAATCGTCGTACGTGTATGCTGGAAAATAATGTATTTATTTTTATGGCACTTGAGTGGTTGGCCCCAATGTCCTGTAGTTAGAGAGGTTTTGCTGCTAGTAGATAAGAAGAGGAGGAGGAGGAGGAGGTCATTAACCTGGTGCCCACAATTCTGCTTTTTCTCCCAGTCCTCCACTGAAGTGTTCTTTGTGTCTGGAAAGCAAGTATGTGATGCTTTTTTTAAAAAAAAATTCATCCACAATAACCACAGCAGCTTGTCCTTTGGGAGGCAGACAAATGAATGCTGAGACTCCGTTGCCCAGGGCTGTTCGCCTGCTCTGATTCCTGAACTGGGAAAAAGGGTTAGGCAAAGGTACAAGCCTTCCATAGCGTTTCTTTCTGCCAAGTTACACACCCCGCCGCTCCTTCCCCGGGGTCGCTTCTTTCTCTCCCAGACACTTCCGGAAGAGGAGTCTCCGCAGGCCAGGCCAGAAGGCAAGGCAAGAGGGCCCCTAAAACAAAGAATGAAAATTCACAGGCAATAAACCGATTCCAGAAAGGAGGATCCAGAAGTGACTGCAACGCGCTGGAAAGGTGCGTTGGAATGGCCACCCGCTTGGTTGCCCAGGCCACCTGTTTTCTGCTATTAACTGCCTGGTTGCAGAATACCGTTTCTGTAAGCACTGCCTACGGCAGGTAGCAGGAAGAATCCTGCCAATGTTCTTTTTCTGCACTTACTCTGATGATTTTGTTTATAAATAAAATTTAAAAGCAACAAAAAAAGATGACTTGAATGTTTCTTGTTGGCCTCAAGTCAACCGCGAGATGCTAAATGCGGGACTTCCAAGATCCGAGTTCATAACACAGCCCAAACGAAGATTCAAGTTGCTTCCAAGGTGCTTTTCCCAGGGGCAGCTGGACTTTCTGGTTTTTCTTTGAAGACGTTTCTCATCCAAGGTTCAGAGCGGAAGAAGCTTCTCAGGTGGGAAGCAAAACATCTTCAAAGGAAAACCAGAACGTCCAGCTGCCTCTTGAAAAAGCACCTTTGGGACAACCATGACCTGGATGACTGAGAATCTCTACAAACATTTAAAGTTGCTTCAGCAAGACAATAATTTTCTAAAACAATTTTACTTGGATGACTGCATGGTCTGAGATTGGTGGGAATTATTGCTTTGTACTATCCCATGAACTGCCGGGACATACAAAATAGATTTATTGATTTAGAATAGGTATCCCCAAACTACGGCCCACGAGTTGGATACAGCCCAAGGAAGGCATTAATCCGCCCCGGGTGGCACCACAAGGCCGCCCTACTTACATCGGTCCCCCTAGAAAAAGAGATTGAGACATACACACACACATCAAAGGCAGCCAGCCACATCCCTTCACTAACCTGTTTTCCACCCCAGGAGCATAGCAAAGTTTAATTTGTATTGTTTAATAATGGACTGCTAAATTGGCCAGGCCCACCCAATCACATGACCACCTAGCCATGCCCACCCAGCCAGTCCGGGGCCCCAACAGTCTGAGGGACCATGAATTGGCCCCCTGTTTAAAAAGTTCGAGGACCCCTGATTTAGAACATTTATTTAGCTTGGTTTGGTTTGGTTTTATTGGACTTACACGTCGCCCTTCTCCCAAAGGACTCAGAGCGGCATACAACATAAAAACATATATGACAAAAGTTAAAAAAACGATTAAACAGGAAATCCAATAAACTTCAATTGACAATTTACATCAAATTTAGGATTAAATTAAAATTGACAATTTAAAATTAATAATTTATTCTATTCAGGCCAGGCCGGCTTGGTGGAAAAGCCAACTTTTTAGGGAGTGCCGGAAGGACCGGAGGTCGGGGATGATGCGAAGCTCCGGGAGCAGCTCATTCCAGAGGGAAGGCGCTCTCACAGAGAAGGCTCTCCCCCTGGGGGTCACTAGCCGATACTGTCTGGCCGACGGCACCCTGAGGAGGCCAACTCTGTGGGATCGCGCTGGACGGTGGGAGGCTACCGGTGGCAGTAGGCGGTCTCGCAAGTACCCTGGGCCTAATCTTATAACCAATCTGGGTGACTCCCAATGAGAATAATTGCTATCAGTTGCTCAGTAGCCATTTGAAGTTACAGCGCCCGCCTCCCCTCCAGAAACCCCTTACATCTGGACCCAAAATATATGATCAGGTTGATCGCATTTTGGATACTCGCCAACCAGCCTGCATTTACAACTGTTTGCAGCCCTGTGTGATCATGTGATCCTAATTTATAACTTTCTTTCAGAAACCAGGGTTTACGGCCAGTATCTAGCAACAAAAGCCCATGGCTAACACTATAAGACTGCTTAATGACTGGCATAAGAGCCGAGGTGGCGCAGTGGTTAAATGCAGCACTGCAGGCTACTGCTAGATCAGCAGTTCAGCGGTTCAAATCTCACCGGCTCAGGGTTGACTCAGCCTTCCATCCTTCTGAGGTGGGTGAAATGAGAACCCGGATTG